TGGGCGTTTAGCAGTTGACACAATTTGTCGTGCTCACCGCCGTGGTCTCCTTAGCAACCGAGGCTGAGCCCCCAGTCATCTGTCCTCTTGTCAAGACAGATGACTCCTCTGTTGTTGTGTCTGCTGCAGAGCCATGTGTTTCCTATTCATGCTTTTATCGACTCGGTCCGCTTGGTTGGTGAACACGTCAGCGCTGGCAGAGTTTGCGTTTAGAGATGTGTAATATTTGGGAGAGTGATGATATTTCTCACCTCTGCCGGTCATGTAATGGGTGGTTTTTAAGCTTTATTCTTCTGCTTCCATTGCTATATGTAACCAGAAGTACAGGCTGGATGGGGGTGTAAGCTGTAAAAAAACAAAAAAACAACAGCAATGTGAACTAATGATTGAACAGGTTGGAGTGTGTTTTTGTTGTTTATTTCAATAAAGCGGGTGAAGTTCAAGAAGCACCAGCATTGGAGGCACAGAAACAATTAAAATGCCACATGAGTCACAGATTATGATATTACATTTGTTAATTTCCCTGCTCTGCTTCAGATGCATCCCTTTGCTACTGAAACAAGTGATAGAACATTATTCAGCATCTGTTTTTTAAGAACGATATTCGAATAAGTCACCGAATGGTTAACTGAGAAAATAACTGGCAGCTTAATAAATTCTAATTACAAAGGTTTCTTTAGAGGCACGATGGTGAATGGAAATGACTTAATGACATAGTTGATTGTGCTGTAGTTGCTGTACATAAGGATTAACAGCTCAGTCTTGTTTTTGTCTCAGGTAAACTGCTCCAGGATCCCATTTCCCCAACAAATCCAGAGTGTCAGCATTATGTCTGCTTGGGTTGTAAAGGCCAGAAGATGCAGATCAGGCCGCCATGCAGCCGCTGCAAAGACTATTCCTGCTTCCAGGAGAACAAACAGCTCTCTTTGCTGGTGCAGTGCTACAGGAAGCTCTGCCTCTATGTAACTCATTCGCCGTTGCTGCAGTTGATCAGCAGCCATGTAGGAGGGTCTCCAGAGGTTATGGCCTTGCTAGAGGAGGTGCTGATGTCACACGAAGAGGAGATAGAGACAGAGGACCTAAGCCTCGCACAGGAAGATGTGAATCCCTCTGTCACCGAGTCCCTCACCCCCACAGAGGCACCACCTGCTCCTGCAGAGCTTTCAGCTGTACCCCAGAGCTCCTCCTCTGACCCTCCCTGTTCCAATGGACCACAGGAATGCAATGGAGAAGTGCTAGAGGACCTGGATCCCTCGTCTCCGGAGCTGGAAGTATGCGAGCTGGTAGAGGAGCAGCCACAGGCAGGCCTGTCTGTGTCCGATACTGGTTGTGGTGGTCTTGAACTGAGTCTGACTACTGGACCTTTAGCCCCAACTCCAGGCACTGTGTGCTCACTCAGGGATGGGGATTGTGGCGGCAGGGAGCTGGAGGAGGGGGCGGTGTTGCTTCTCAGTGTGGAGGAGGTCTTACAGACTTTGGATCCCGTTCAGCCCGGTCGAGATTCTTCTCATATACAGTCAGAAAGAACGCACACTCATACACACTTAACTACGGACAGAGCGCACGCTCAAATGTACATACAGCTGGACGCAGCTCACAACTACACACAGATTCGAACAGACAGGACTAACACAGTGGCAAGCCATGGTGTTCACATACACACATCCTCCTTCGACCCTCCTCCAACCTCCAAGCCCCCGCCAGTCCGCCTTAAACGTAAACGATCTCGCTCAGAGAGCGACAGAGAAAAGGTGAAACCCCTCCCTATCGCCTCCATCCTGCAGGGCTCCTGCTCACACTTACACACTCCAAACCCCTCTCAGACACTGCACACGCAACCACCCACACCTCCTTTAACATTAACAGCGCAAGCATACTCCCCCCTTCCTAATGGGGTGCCTCCCAAGCCTAGTCGCCCTGCGCCAAATCACAATAAAGGTGCCAGGAAGCACGTTGACCCGGGCCTCAAGAAACCCCATGCAAAGGCCCGCACTGGTGCAGGTTCCAAGACGAAGGACGGTAGCAAAGACCCGCGGTTGATGGCAGGCTGCCTTGTACCCCCAGCACCTGTCAGGCCTCCATATAAGAAGCCGGTGGAGAAGAAGGGCTGCAAGTGTGGCAGGGCCACCCAGAATCCCTCTGTGTTGACCTGCAGGGGGCAACGCTGTCCCTGCTACTCGAACCGCAAGGTGGGACTATGAGCATGGCATGTATGGGATTTTGGGGGTCAAGTTTTCCTTGGTTTTATTGAGCACAAGCTATTTTTTTTGTATTTAATCAGCCCTTCGGAAGTGTAAAGGCATTGTTGTAACTAATTTTGCCAACTGTGATTTATGTGATCAGGAAAAGAGGCTTAATATCACTGTATTTACAAATTCAATGTAAAATCTCTATTGAAGAAATAATTCTAAAACATATTTTCAAAGACAAAAACAGCAAAAATAGCCAGTTTGTGGTTAAACTAATGCACTGCTATGCTTTTCTTATTCAACCCTGACTACATTCTTTTTGTGATTTGGGGTCAGATCTAAAAAAAATATTGCAACTTTAATGTGACGTTGGTGTGATGCAAATACACTAATGCTCCTTGTCTATTTTTTGGCATCTTTCTCAGGCATGCTTGGATTGTATCTGTCGAGGTTGCCAGAACTCCTACATGGCCAACGGTGAGAAGAAGCTCGAGGCCTTCGCCGTGCCAGAGAAAGCCTTGGAGCAGACGCGGCTCACACTCGGCATCAACCTCACCAGCATCACGGCGGCCGCGGCGCTTCGCAACCCAGCACCCACCAGCATCCGCGCAAACACCCTCCTCAATGTTGCCACAGCGACGGGGACCCCCGTGACCACGGCCTTCCTGTCCCCCAGCCCCCCGCAAGAGCCCAACTATGAGGACAGCCTGGGACTGCTGATTGGATGAGAGGCTGGGACTCAAAAAACAAAACAAAAAACAGACAGCTCGGTGCTGATTGAATGTGATGGCTGATCATTGTGTCTGTCAGACAACCTGTACCTCCCCCCTCCAGAGGGGAGGCAATCTAAGGCAGCTATGGGTCTGTCCTGTCCTGTAACCTGCTCTTCTTTCTGTGTTGGAAAATGCTGAGTAGTAAGACTAGCATGGGTGTGCCAAAGCCTCCTGTATTGTGCCTGTGTGCCGGTGTGTATTGTTGCCTGCCTGTAGTTAAACACTTATACTCGGTTCCAAGGCCATTCTGTACTTCAGAGGTGCTTCTTGTTCATAGACCACAGACATACTGTAAGAGGCAATAGGAACCCATACCAGGTTTTTGTGTTTGTTAATGTGTGCACACACAATTATAGATTTGAGCGTGTGCGTATGTGTGATTTCTGGTGCATAATGATAACAAAAAACTGCATCATTATATCCCAATCACCTGTCACAGCATTTTCCATGTTTGAGTATTACTCCATGTATGTTTCAGAAACACATAATTGGTATTAGGACGGCCCTTACTAATCCTTAACCCTGTTTGTGTTCACACCTTAATTGTGAATGAATCTTGTGACTAATCTTTGGAGAAGTTCAGTGTCACACAAGACTGTATGCCTTTTTCTATCTCGTTAACTCACTCAATCCAAGTACTGTTGACTGATAATGAATTTGTCTTAATGAACTTGACTGATGCAGGCATTGTACAGGCAGCAAGATAATGTCAAAGCACTTGGCTGGCTCCACGGTTTCTCTCTGTGTGTGTCTGTGTGTGCCTGCTGAGATTTACTGTAATGTCAGCGGGGAGGCGGATGGTGGGTTGTAAGCACTTAGACGGATTGATTGGCCAAATTACAACTAAAAACCATTCTTGGTTACCATAGCAATAGGAGCACCAACGAGGAGCCTCCCAGCTCTCGTGCACACACGCAGTTGTTTACAGTGTTTCCATTTATACAGACTATAACTGTCTGTCTTCTAAAATATTACACCAATATGTTTCGATCGTGGGATTGTACATGACTGTGTGTGTGTTTAGATAAACTGAAGCCATAGGTTGTCATTAACAAGACAAAAAATGCCCCCCCCCCCCTGTTGTAGTGTCCCGACTGATTAGAGACCAACACAGAGACTATTTTTGATATCAAGT